TATGCATATGAGTAATTGATGGTCTGTTCCATACTGGCCTTGTTTTGGCTGATGATACGAAGCTTTTCCACAGATGTAATCAATTTGATTTCTGCATATTCCATCTATTGAGGTCCATGTGTATAGTTGTCTCTTATGGTGTTTAAAAAAGGTATTTGAAATGAACAAATCATTGATTTTGCAGAATTTTATGCAATCTCCAGCATTATTTCTATCACCAAGGTCATATTTTCCAAGTGCTGATTCTTCCTCTTTGTTTCCAACCTTTGCATTCCAATCACCAGTAATGATCAATACATCTTGATTGTATGCTTGATCAATTTCAGATTGAAGCTGTTGATAGAATTCTTATATTTCATCCTCACTGACTTTAGTGGTTGGTGCGTAAATTTGAATAATAGTGGTATTAACTGATCTTCCCTGTAGGTGCATGGATGTTATCCTATCACAGATAGCATTGTACCACATGACAGATCTTGATATGTTCTTTTTGATGATGTATGCAAGACCATTCCTCTTCAATTTATCATTCCTGGCTTAGTAAACCATGTGATTGTCAGATTCTAAATGGCTGATACCAATCCATTTCAACTCAGTAATACCTAAGATATCAATGTTTATATGTTCCATTTCATTTTTGTCAGTTTCCAATTTTCCTAGATTCATACTTCGTACATTCCAATGTCCGATTATTAATGGATGTTCATAGCTGTTACTCTTCATTTTGTGTTATGCCCCATTAGCAAATGAAGGTATTGGGGGCTTTACTCCATTCCTGTCAGCACAGTCACCTCTACTTTGAGGAGGCAGCTCTTCCCCAGTCACATTTTGAGTGCCTTCCAACCTGAGGGACTCATTTTCCTGCAATGTATCTGACAGTGTTTCTCAGCTATTCATAAAGTTTTCAGTGACGAAATATTCTGAAATAAGAGTTCATCACTCCTTTTTCCTAGTCTGTCTTCATCTGGAAGCTCATCTAAAACCTGTCCATGGGTGACCCTGCTGGTATTTAAAATACCTGTGGCATAGCTTCCAAAATCATAGCAACTTAAAGCCATCACAGTAGGACAAACTGACAGACGAGTGGAAGAACCATATTAAATAATTCAGTATACCATTCCTATCATTTGGCTAGTCTTTTGTTGGGTTAGAGTTCTTTTTCTTCTCTGTATATAAGTATAGAATTTGTGTAAAAGTCTATACTTACATGCAAAGAAGAAAAAGACCCTGGGCCTACAAAAACTGAAAGTTTGTGAACAACCTAGTAATCTGTTTTAATAAGCTCTTCAATGATGCTAATAATTGCTAAAGAGTTAGAGCCACAGTTCTAAGCCATTCTCCCTGCTTCCTTTTCACTATTTGCCAATTTGGTTAGCATGTGAATAGATCATACCACCCACCACTCCTGGTTACAATCATCCCTTGGGGCACTCCAATTTTCTTGAAGATTTCTGATGGCAATTCACTGTCACTCCTCACTGCTGTTGTTGTTAAGTGCCTTGTAGTTAGTTCCTGTTGACCCTGTATAGGGTTTCTGAGAAGTGGCTGTCCATTACATTAACGCGCATTAACACCAGGACTCCACACAGATGATTCTTACAGAACCTGATTTTGCAGTTCTTGGCCTTCCTCCTTCTCATATTTCCTTAGCTATTCATTCCATGCTTCCAACTTTATTTTTCCTTGCTTCCCAACTTTTTCTTGCTACAGAGTTGAGTGGGAATGCTTCTAGTGTTTTACTATTAATTAATATATGCTGTAAGGAGCTCTAGTAGTATAGTGGTTACAAATCGGGCTGCTAACCTGAGTGTCAGCAGTTCAAAACTGCCAGCTGTTCCAGGGGAGAAAGATGAGGCTTTCTGCTCCCATAAAAACTTACAGCCTCAGAAACCCTGTACAGGGTCGCTATGAGTCGGAACCGACTCCACGGCACATAACAACAACAACAGTATATGCTGTTGGCTTCTAGTACCCATAGCCATCAAATTGGTTCCAACTTACAGAGACCTTGTAGGACAGAGTTGAACTGCCCCATGGGGTTTCCCAGTATGCCGTTGTGGCTTAATGTGCTGGACTGCAAAGTCGGTTTGAACTGCAAGGTTGGCGGTTCAAGCTCACAACCCACTCTTTGGAAACCCTATGCAGGGTCACTGTGGGTTGGAACTGACTCAACACCACTTACCAACAGCAACAACAATCTTTACGAAAGCAGACTACCACATTGTTGCCCTATGGAGCAGCTGGTAAATGACAAATTTAAGTCTCATAGCTAATTAATTAAAGCACTAGGACTTAAACACTAGGACTAGAATATACCTGCCCAGCTTCCCTGTTCAGTTCTTTACCGTGGATTTTCACAGCATGTGATACATATTGGGCCGTTTTTAATTTACGAGGTATACCATAGAAGAATTGATGATTTTGAGTTGTGGTGTTGGAGGAGAATATTGAAAGTGCCACGGGCTGCCAAAAGAACCAATAGTGCCAAAAGAACCAATAGATCCGTTTTGGATGACGTGCAGCCAGAGTGCTAAGGCCTAGATGGCCAAACTTCGTCTCTCATACTTCAGACATATCGTCAGGAGGGACCAGTCACTGGAGAAGGATATCAAGTTTGGTAAGGTGGAGGGACAGAGAACAATCGGAAGAACCCCAACGAGATGGATAGGCCAAGTGGCAGCATCGATGGACTCAAGCATGGCAACAGTAGTGAGGTTGGCCCAGGATTGGGCAGTGTTTCATTCTGCTGTGCATAAGGTTGCTATGAGTCAGTACTGACTTGATGGCACATAACAACAACAACAACTGGTAATAAACCACTCCAAGGGAGAAATATGAGACTTTCTGCACCCAGAAACTTGTTAAGTGCCAAAGAGTTGGTTGTTGTTAAGTGCCATTGAGTTGGTTTCAACTCATATCTACCCTTGATAGGGTTGCGGTTCAAATCTACTGCAGTCAAGCACATTAACCCACAGTGTCACACCAGTATTCCAGAAGCATATGGTAGAAGCATGTAATTTAATGCTTTCTGCAGTCTTTTATATTTTATTATAACATATATTCCAGAGGTAGTTCTTCTTTTATAAGAAAAGAAACAAAACAGCTTTTTGCCATCAAGTCAGTTCTGAAATACAACTGGCCTTGAAGGTTTTCTAGGTTGTAATCTTTATGGAAGTGAATTGCCAGGCCTTTCTTCTATTGCACCGCTGGGTGGGTTCTTAGGTTAGCAGTTGATAGCAAACCGTTTGGGTCACCCAGGGACCTTACCTTGTATATATTGTCAAGAGCCATTGATTCCAACTCATAGCAACCCTGTATAGGATTTGCAAGGAGCTGCTGGTAGATTTGAACTGGTGACCTTGTGGTTGGCAGTCCAGTGCTGATCCTACAGCACCGCACCAGGAGCCCTAGTTTGTATGTGTTGTTGTTAAGTGCTGTGGAGTCGGTTCTGACTCATAGCAATCCTCTATAGCATGTTGGACATGTGGCTGGTGGGTTTGAACCATTAATTTGAGGTTCAAACCTATCTTGTTGTCTAGTGCTTATCCTACAGTGCCACACCAGGAGCCCTACTTTGTATGTGTTGTTGTTATTAAGTACTGTGGAATTGGTTCTGACTCATAGGAATCCTCTATAGCATGTTGGAGAAGTGGTTTTTGAAAGGGAAAAAACAACCCCACCGCTCATCAACCACACCTCATACCAAATGGCCCATCTAGAGACTTTTATTCAGGGTGAGGAAGGTAACCTCTGCGGGAGAGAGAAGGCAGGAGGCAGAAGGGAAGAGAAGAAGAAGAGGGAGTCAACGGGAAGGGAGGGGACATATAGGTTCAACAGGAAGGGAGTGGTCATTGCTGGGGTGATTTAGCTCTGGCCTATCAAAAGCCATGTTGTCCTTTAAACTACGTGCCTGTGTAGCGGGGAAACAGACAAAATGGAGTTGGAGGGAGGGGAGAGGGAAGAACCGGAAGGTATTGTAACAGTTTTTTATACAGTTAATTTTTAGTAAAGCTGTGCGATCCTATTTGCATTTTTCCAAATCTCTTTTTATGATTAGTGTTAAAGCAAGAAATAAGAATCTCTAGATAGCGTAGTGGTTACGAATCGGGCTGCGAGCCGCAAGGTCAGCTTTCTGCTCTCGTAAAGATTTACAGCCTCGGAAACCCTGTACAGGGTCTCTATGAGTCGGAACTGACTCCACGGCACATAACAGCAACAACAACAATAGTGTATGTATGCCTCTGTTGCCAAACCAAAACAAGGGTTTTCCACCTGTCACTGTAATCAGTCACAGAAATGGGGAGAGATTCTATCCAAGCTTTATAAGCAGAAAGCCAGCAGTCTGGAGGACAGAGAGAATAATATCTCAAGACCGTCCTGTCATTCACAAAGAGCAGGCAGTTTATATAAGGTAAGTTACATTTGGATGTACACTTCATCTGTTTTAACATCAAGATAGCATTTTCCTCAAACATTCTACTTTTAGGGAAAAGGAAAACAGTAAATTAACATACTTCCTCAAACATTCTACCTTTTGGGTCTCGGCTGCTTAATTACTGAGATAACTATCTAGGTGGGTTTAAGCATATCCTATTCTCCTTGACCTGCTTCTAGGACCACAAGGTCATCCCAGCCAATCTATAAACTTCCTCATTTGCAGGGTCCTTACTTGAGTCTTAATGACTAAACTTACTCCATTTTGTTTAGGTTGGTAGATCCATGCTATCATCTCCGGTATGAAGGGAACTCTTCAAATAAAATTAATAGGAACTGAAGCTCCTGTGTAGGCTTGTGCATTGATATCGTAGACAGTGGCAGTGACATGATCAGGCCTAACTTTAGTTTGGAAAACACAGAGCTGTATTTGGGAGGAATTAAAATACGTAATATTTTCTCTATTGAGAATTGGTGTCATTTTTAGAAATGTCTCAATCCTATTTTCACATGCAGTTGAAATCGTTTGAGTTTTATGCTGTAAGTGCTTTGTTTTTTTTCAACAGTGCATGACTCCTGATCAGCTGATGATGTTTGGCAAAGCAGGCATTTGCAATAGTAATACTGGGGTGAGAGTAAACATCGTTAGTATTTTAGGAGTTACTGGCAGCGTCCTAGCCAAAGAAGATGGTACTCTTGAAACCCTTAAGGTAAAACAATTAACATAAATGTAAAATAATTAAAAATGGGGAAGAATAAATATTGATGTAGGATTTCTGTTTTTAAGTCTATGATATAATGGAAAGACATCCAGAAGTTGCTTACAAAGGTGTAATATTAGAATATACCCTTTGGCTTGATCTAACTATATATATAATAGCAGGTCCTTGAAAAGCTGAATTATAGTTTGTCAATTAATTTTACTCCAAAGATATTTTTACAAAAATGTATTTGCCTTCAGTGAAAGACCAAATTCAGAATTTTTAAAGATGTCTTTTTCCTTTGCCTGTGCTTTAAATGTAATACACATGATTATATTTTCCTATTGATGAAGGAATGGGTCACCCAGTTTTCTCTGCACACTAAGTTAAAATGCTCTAAAAACACCACGCAGTTATTATAATATCACTTGTAAAAATATGACACCAACTGTTGTCTCATGGCATTCTACCCAGTTGGATTCAATAATCCATTGCAGTGGCCACACAGCATTCAAACACTATACTCACAGTTAAGGTGTTTATTAGGGAATTTAACAGATTACAATTTAGGACCATAAATGCTTAGGATTGTTTCAATCAGGACTGCCTCTCCTCAGCTGTACCCACAGGGAGACCTCTCTCTGCCCAGCCAGACTCTAACTCTGTTGGTTAGCAAACTTAGACCCCTTCCCCAGTTAAGTGCCTGGAGGCACCCACTCTGCAAGCAAACCTCCTGCAAGCAAAAGTTGCTCAGGCTGAGAAGTTCACTCTGTCTTGTGCTCTGTTTGTTGGTTCTTGCTTCTCTGCTACTCTTTCAGTATCACAGCTTTCTGCCCCCGAGTCAAGGAAGTTCAATGCACAGAGATCGCAGGGGATCAAGGATATGCTCCACTCCTGGCTCCTCTTCTTTGATTGTGAGATCCCCGTCCTGCTGCTGAGGTGTAGCTCATTTAAAACCCAGTAAGATTTTAAAATGAAATCCTAGTGTGGTGCTGTAGGACAAGCACTGGACTGCTAACCACATGGTTGGTGGTTCAGACCCATTAGAGGCTCCTTGGAAACCATATTCGAGGTCTTTGTGAGTCAGAACTGACTCAATAGCACTTTACAACAAGAAAATGGTAACATTGACCAATCCTCTCATTAGATTTTCAAGTGTTTTTACAATCAATAGTCCTATCACAATCACTGACAAATGAATCATAGCAACATCTATCACCTTCTGTTACCCAAACCAGTCAAGAAATAGTCATTTATTAGGAGTTTACAAAAGACTATGGATAAGAATCTACTGATGTGGGAAATTTCCACTGGAAAGGATGAACAGACCAGCCTGGAGCAGCTAGAAGAACAGAAGGTACTTCTTGAAAGAAACACCAACAGGAAAATTACAAAGCAACATAGGCAGTCCGACTGACTACTACAAGAACAAGCAAGTTGCTCGTCCAGGAGACATCAAAGCAAGTAGTTGGGTCCCCACAGGGCAAACCCCCTTCCAAGACTAAGACTCAATGGGAATGCACAAACAGACACGTGCTCTGACAGGTGACCACATTTTGGTCACCGATAAGGAGAAGTAAGGGAAAAACAGCAATGAAGCTACTAGCTAAGTCCAACCACATTCAGTAAACTCCTGTAAGCCCGGGTGGAGACCTGGTTCACCAGCAGTTTGGCAAGACCTGGAGACTCCTGGGCCCATAGTCAATGACATAGCCACAGAGGACTAGAGTGGAGAATGAAGTGTCCAGCTAATAAGAAGAGAGGGCATATGCACAAGAACACCCACACTTGCAGATAATACCCACTAGACCCGGCTTCAATGGCCGGATGATCAGAGCTCAACTAGAAGAGGAAAAAAAGAACAGTCTGATACCATTTGATGAACCTGACCTACACATATGGATACAGTAGCTCAAAAGAGGGAACAGATCTTTACAGCAAGGATCATTCCCACCCCCTCGATACACAGGGTAAACAGGGATGGGCAACTTGGACATAGGCTACCCCAAATGGGGGAGCTACAAGGGCAAGAAGTGACTGGCTTACAAGCATTCAAGAGGGTGCCTAGATCCATTAAGTAGTATCCAGTCTGTCAGGGCAGAACTGTTGAAAGGAGATGGAGATAGCACTTGTGTTACAATAGTAAATAATTACTATCAGGACTGACTGTGAGGGTTGGAAATGTAAAGGTAGACGTTTTGTAGCAAAGGAGTGGTTGCCTTTGCAGGCCAGGAGTGGAGGCCCCTGGTACCATCAAGGGAGAAGAGTGGAGTGCAGGACCCTACCCAGAGAAACATGATGCCAGAGATAGAGGCAGAGATGATGACATGGAGAAATGGAATGTCTGGGAACTTTAGACCCAGAGAGGGAGAGGGGCTGTGTGCTGACCACCAAGGAGAGATGGAGCAGCTGGGAACTGTAGTCCCAGAGAGAGGGAGGGCGACTGTGTGCTGACGACCAAGGGACAGGCTTGTGGGGTGTACCCTTTGGTGACCTATGGCAGTGTAATGATATATGATAGGATGAATGTAAAGCCAATGTTCTCCCATGTAAACTATCACATAATTCACAGTAAAACAGTAGGAGAAAAAAAGTAGACTGGATAGAAGAGACATTAAATCACTACACTGCATCACTGTAAATCTGAAGTGGCAATTCTGGTAGTGCCACTAAACTAAGGCATTTCGTCTGCGTATTTACTTTCAGCACTACATCTCATTGCAGTTGCTTGGTGACTGCACTACTAGTAAGTAAAATGATCCTTCGTTATGCTAGTAAGAATTAAAGTGTTGGTTGCTATTAAACTGATTATTGTAAAGTAACTTCTTAACCTGCTAAGAACTTTATACTGGTGACTTAATTTTTTAAAATTATTTTTACTGTGTTGTTCATAGGGTCTTCATGGGTCGGAGCCAACTTGACAGCACCTAAATACATCAAAAATATACATTTAAAAAGTCTACCAATTCAGTAATTGTTAAACATATAATTCAAGTAGCACTGATTACATTCTTCATATTGTGTAACTATTGTTGTTGTTGAATGCTGTCAAGTCTATTCTGACCCATAGTGGCCTTGTATAGTGTTTCCGAGGAACAACTAGTAAGCTTGAACCAGTGATGACATTGTGGTTCAAACCAACTTTGAAGTCCAGGACTCCTGTGCAACTATTATTAGTGTATGTTTCCACGTTATCTCCTAAGAAGTCACTGCCCTGCCCCCTCTCTT